AAACAACGATGAGAAATAGGGACTCCTTGGCAGAAAGCCGCAACAGGAGCAATCGCTCTGAACCAGGACAGTCTTGCCGATCGGATCTGAAGTCTGATATTGCCGTCTGCGTGAATGGATGTGCGGCACTCGATGAACGGATGGAAGATGCTGGGCAGCGACGGATCGCCGGCCGAGGCGTACGCAGACGCCAGTGCACTCCGATTCGAGCTGTACCTGCATAGTATTAGGGTGGTCGCGCGGCAGGTACTGGCACACCTCTTATGGCCTTCGGCCGCCGCACACAAGTCCGGGGCAGCAGCGGCAGCAGCAATCTGAAGCCGCTACACCGCCACCGAGGCGCCGGGCAGCAGCAGGTCGGGCAGGTGGCGGGCGGCGGTGGAGGCGACAGCGACGTAGCGTCAGTGGGGCGCACCAGCCAAGCCAGCTCGGTGGGCCCAACGCGCGGTGGTTAAGCGCGCTGGTGAAACAGGGCGGGACAGCTACCGGTGACTCCCGCTGAAGTATGCCGACCAGAACCAGACAGGCCAGCGGTGCACCTCGTAGTCATGCTTTTGCGACCAGACGCACGCCAACCGTTGAAAGCTCACGAGATCACAAACTGCCCTGAACCTTAGTATAGCTATGTCCGTAAAGTTAGCGATTTATTGAGCGATTTTTACGGCGACGAGTTCCGATTTCCCTGAAAATGGTTTCAAGGTCAACTGTGGCATGAGAACGCCAAAAATGACCCTTATTTTGCAATAGCATGTGACCTTCTAGGTCAAAGGCTGGGTCAAAGGACGGGGAACTCGATATCACCCAAAAATTACCGGCCGATTTTCATCGTGCAAATGCCAGAATATTCAACACAGAAAAAACTAGTGTCCGTTCAAAAAGTCCTGACCTCTCAAGGTCACTCTTGAAGTTTAAACGCGGGCTGAAAGAACGGGGAACTCTATATCACCCAAAAATTACCGTCCGATTTTTAACTAACGAGCATCAAAACATTCATCACAGAAAGAGGTAAAAAAAAAATACCGTGCTTTTTCAGGAAACAGGCTTTTGGCGGTAAATATTTTATTTGTGTTTATGTTTTACTTGGGGAGGTAAGGTTAACTTCCGTAGAACATCGAGAATGCCTTGTAAAGTTATTGTGACTGTTTTTAGGGTGTCTTTTACAAATGAGGCGCGGTTAGTTGATATTTTCAAACGTTTCTCGAACATGTGATTGCATTGTTTTATGGGGCGCTGGCTTGGGCCGCGGCGAAGGCGTTTGGATTACCTTGCTTTTCTTCTGATAAGTTGCGCAGCGCAGCTTTCGTTTTATTCACATTATGCGGATTTTTTCGTTGCTCATTGTGTACGCTTTAGGTTTTCTCCAGATGTGTTCATGCGAGCGAAAATCAACATTGGTATGGATGCTTGTGTTCGAGCTTAAGTGGGTGAATTGGAGTGAAATGGTATGCATTAATTTCCTGAATGCTCGCAAATTTACCTAAAATGTAGTTTATCGATGTGTTGTTAAACCTACGAGCAACCATTTTGCAGCCCATGACAGATATTGACCAGGTCTTGACTGTGAAAAACAATGAAAAATAACCTATATATCAAGATCTGATCAAATTATACTCTGTACAGAGCTACATTTAATGTTAACATCATATACTTTTCTATCAATTTTTCTTGTGTTGCTTGATTTCTACATGCAATCCAGAAACAGTGAATCGTGCCGTGTGCGAGATATTCTCCGTGCCCCTCCCTCAGGGCAGTACAACACCGGGTACTCCAAAAGTTTTGACTAGTAGGTATCGACGCATACTATAAGTATACTAAAATCGGGGTTTACAACAGATTTAGTATGTTGTACCAAAAATTGGCAGTGCTGTGCTCGCGGCATTTTTGGTTTGTTTGCTGCGATATAACATTAGAGAAAAATCATTGTAAACCATTTGTTGTGTTTAAGGCGGTACATATCGTAAATAATCTTAAAACAGGTAGATTCATACTCCTACCTTCGAATTTTAATAACTACGATAGCGAGCTCCCGAGCGCCGCACGCACCCCACCACCTCGACTCCCCAGCGCCGTTTCTGCGTTGTCGTTGCGTAATTACAATATTTATGCTTATCGAGAAGCATAAAAAATGTAGAATATATGGGACAAGGTAACAATAATAATGCAATTAAGAACATTTCTGATAGCGTCTAGGTACGGCTTTGAAACGGACAGGCCAAAATAGTCCAGAACATAGCCTAAACTAGCCTAACCTAACCTAACCTAACCCAACCTAACCTCACCTAACCCCCCACCCTATCCCCTCCAACCAAGTGTCCCATTGGCATCCATGTTTCATGCCATATATGTGTACCGTATTTAGAAGTTTTGTTTTGCCGCCATATTCTCATTTTGCTTTTCATTCCCACCCAAAAACATCATATTTCCCACCATGTTGACCAATCTACAAACAATACGGAAGACTGCTTGGACACGCAAGAAACACATTTTAGTGGATTCTTGTTACCTTGGCCTCGTACATGTTTATGGTTCTTGATGCGCAGTAATGTTGTGATCACGCAGTAATGTTGTGACCACACGTAGAAATGGCGCCGGGGTCGTGGTTGCTGCCTTAAATGTTCATGCTACCTTAAATGACATATTCTGCCTTAAAAACGACGATTGATGTGCAGTGCTCTTTATTAACATGAGGCTGGATTTCGTTTTCTGGTGAATGTGGCACCAGGAAATTTTGTACTCCAGACTCTTGACTGGTAAGAATGGCAATTTTTGTACTCCAGACAAATGCTGCAGTCGCCCCACAAAGCAGACACCATTGCAAATGTATGAGCCTGAGTATAAGTACCAAGGCAGACAGTTTTGCTTTCTTGATAGCCAGGAGGGTGCATGAACTTTGCTTTCATTAAGTGAGTCATAACTTTCATTTGAATTCCAGGGACCAACCATATCGAGCACCAAGAAATGGAAACAAGCATCTGCAATCCTGCAGGAGCTGGCCAATCCAGGGCGTTCATGTCAATGCCCTTCATCATTGTATTACATGGGTTATATGCACTTGTACAAGCCTATGCAACTCCTGAATGGTGATGACAACTCATGTGAACTACTTCTGTGGGAATGAAATAAACTGAAATATGAAATGTGCTTGTTTTAAGTACCTACCGCTGCCACATACCCCGCATGTCATTACCTGTGAGGAAAATATATGGCGCACCTGAGTAAGACCGCATTCTCCACGACGCACACACCTACCGATACCTTCCAAGAAACGGACAAACATATCACGGCTCTGGCTCCCACCACGCGACGAACCCATCGCCTCCCGTACCCGAAACCAACGGCACCCCAGCCTCCTGCAACTGACGAGTGCATTTTCGAGCAGTGAAGGTCCGCGTCGCAACAGACACCTACAACAATATTCGTTCGACCAGAAAACCACTAGCAGCACCAAAATCATCGATAGCACATCTTTTTCAACTAGGTCATTCAAAGACTTGCCGAGCAAGAAGTCCAGCATGCCAACTATGCTCTTAACTTACCTCATATTAAGATAACATGTTAGCGATTTTACCAAAGGACGTGCATCTTGCAAGCAGTTTGGTGGGAAAATTCCAGATTGCAGCATTGCACATCCTTCTCAAAGCGCCTGTTTCATTCCTGCTCCTGCCATACGAGCCACCAATCACCATCCAACTTGCAATTAAACTAAAAATCATAGCATTCAAACACACCACATATCAGCACTTTTGAGATAGAATCATGACATGAATTGGGACCCAAATATCACTTTGTGGGCGGCACTTTTGGTGGTAACGGCTTCTTTTGGGTTCTTAAATGTCATCGGGAATTACGTTCCCAAAATGGGAGTTTGTGGCATGCAGCATTCCAAAACTTATTACCATTGTATAAATGATAGTACGTCAACCACCTTTTCAGCAATCGGTAAATGCCGGTCTTTGAAGATTCGAGGATATCTTACTTATTGAACAACGGTGTCATGTCTCCAGGCTCAACCAGTACCTATACTTGTAAGATAGAGATGGTCCATAACCCAGTGGGAAAAAATCGCAGTACTTGGTTGCCCTTCTCACGATGGGGCGTATGGGGAGACCCGGGGCGAACAAGCCGGAGTACAAGCCGTAGAACAGCAAGTTTTTCGCAAAGTTAGCCAAATTTAGTTGAAAAATGTACGTGTTTTGGCATCGCCCAGATACGGGCCTTCCTCAGAGGGTGTTGAAATGACATGATATGCCTTAGAATGAGAAATATCTATAGATTTGTAGTACATGTACTGCATTATCTCGGCGTTGTCTTGCGCCACCAGAAGATAATATATATTTGTAGGTGGAAAATAGCAACTTGAAATGCATGACTGTAAAGCTCTATGATTTTTCTACCACAAACTTAACAATTTGTGTTGGTGCAACTGCATAAATGGCTTTTCTTAGACTATTCATCACAGCCTGTCATTTCAGGACCGACCCGTGGTACTTGTACTTGGTTGCCCATTGACGTGTGCTAGAATGCCATCACAATGTCTGTGAATGCGCCAGAACTCCCGTGCATGGTTTGATTGTCTGTCTTGATGTGGTGAGAGTGGGGACGGCGGAGGGTGAGTGGAGCTGCTTGGGATTACGTGCATCGTAGTCGCGAGTTTGAGGCATTCAGTGAGGCAAAGTGGAATTGGTTGTCTTCAATTTTCACACAGCATGCATCCACACTTCTAAAGTTACTTGGGATTTAGCTTTGGACCGCTATTAAGTCATTCCAAAAAAGGTAAATAAATACCGGGGGACTGATCTATAAATGTTTACCGCTGCAGGCTGGTACAGAATCACCTTGGTATAACCTGCCCTACCTACAGCATGGTGGGTAGGTACATAGGTACTAAGATATCTATGTACAACATTAATGCTAGGCTTGGGTTTCCCATGTGGGATCAAATATGAGGCTGGCCTCTTCAGCCTGTGGTTATAATTGCTGTAACCTGACAGGTGGCAATGCTGCCACATTCCTTGCTGTCAGGTATAAGGTCTTGCAGTGACACTATTAAAATTGTCCCTACATAGGATCATAGGGAACTTGGAGAAGAGGAGAGGGATAACAGGAAGTGCAGGAAGAGAGGAGGAGCAGAAGTGGAGGAGGAGTGGAAGGAGAAGAGTGACAGAAAGAGAAGGTGAGGAACTGAAAGAGGAGAAGAGCAGAAAGAGAAGGATAGGAACAGGAACACTTTTGGTATGTTTATATTAATTATGTAAAGGTCAAAAGGACAACATGTTAGTGATGTCACATAGATAAGGCTTTCATAGTCAGTTGCAGCTGCCTAAGACTCATTAAAAAACCAGGGTGTGATGCACAGTGGTTGTCCACAATTAAGTTTGTCAGTAAGCAGAGGATGCACCTGATTTATCATTTTGATATTGTGTAAGTTTGCATGGAGATAGGTAATGATAAGTAACTGAGCTTTGTATGATGCACCTGTGAATGCATATGTATGAAGTTTTGTTGTTGACCTCTCTAACTGTATATTTCTTATTAACATGTACCATTACTAGATCTTTGCATGTATAGGTGAGCTAGGAGCACTACAGGGATATGGATGGGATCAGTGTGGCACCCTCACTCACAAGAAGTGCTCTGTTCCACTGAAATGCAAAATTGCATGCTGACACTAATTTTTGCCAGAAAAACATTGGGAAAATGTTGACCCATTAAAGGCAGTATGTGATGTACTCCAAGCAAGGCCCATTGTGCAGACACTCATTCCACATTAGACAGACCTTTGCTCGCAGGCAAGTTTGTACTCCGACCACAAAAAAATTGTACTCCGTCACCAGCAAAAAAAACTAAATTTCCCACCCTGGGCCGTAGGAATGTATACCCTGACCATAGCCTTTGTCCACAGTGGAATTGCCATCCATGAAATTGGTTAACCAGTAATTATGTCAGTTCAGCACAGCTGTGTGATTGCATTAGATGTGTTTATTGATGCATGAAAGGGGCACTATACTGTAATGAAAATGTTTGGTATGATGCAACATTGTGCACATACCTCATATGCCATTTAACCAAAGGAGTGATCCACTTTCACTGTTTAGAAAAGCTCATCTGATGTCAAAAATTGGCTGACTTCCAGCATAATTCAGTTTATGTGAAATTATGAGTTATGTTTTTTTCCAGATCAGAAGAATCCATGTGTGGGCTGTGCTGAGGGCGACCTCACCTCACTTCCACCCAATTTGTGCTTCTCATTGTGTCTGGACACCTCATTTTGATTAAATATTATTTAAAATTGTAGTTTTGTACTTTCCTTGAAAAGTCCAGCCAATGTCATCAGATGGTGCCTACTTAGTGTTTATTGTAATATTCTAGCAACAATATGAAAAGGGCAAGCCAACATTTGCTAGTGCATTTCAACACTGTTGGAGGACATCATCTCAAAATGCAATCACTCCATGCAACTGCATGCAGCATAAACCTGCCATTGAACAATATTCTGTGCTTGGTAAATGTATCCAATGTAAGAAGCAAATGTTGCACTTTATGTATTTAATGGGTGCAATGGTTTGAGTTGTATGTGAAATGTTGAGTTAGTCAGCAAAATAAATCATCTTTATGATTTATGCTAAGTCTCATGCTGAAATAATTAGATCATGTAGGATACAGGGCTATCAAATTCATTTCAACATCATAGAATGTCTGCTTATGCAAGGGAAGTTTTCAGATTTGTGATGTTTATAGAAACTGATGTTTTATGTCAAATATTGCAATATTCTGAATGCTAGCTGTAATCCTATCCTCAGCATCTGTAACCCTATCCTCATCTACTCTGAGATCAGTGGATGGAAGTTATAGTTAGAAATTACAAGGCTTGATGAGGAATAACACAAATTATGTCATATTGAAGTTCCAAATATTTATTTTGCAGGTCTTGTAATGTGAAAGCAAGCTTTTCAGGTTCAGTTATTCAGTATAGCCAGTGATAAAATGTTTGTATTCGCCTTATGCCAAAAAGCCTTTCATGCGAATGGTTTTTAAGGAGCATGGCCATAGGTCTGTCAGGTGCTTAAGCTCTTCAAGATCAATCAAAGAAGTTTTATAAATTGTGTCATATCAGGGCCTTTGTGCAGTACAGGTCGCCACTATGGCACTTATCATTATAATGGTTACCATCTCGCTTTTAAGCACAACTGCTTTCCAATCAGCGGTGCGTGCAATGTTGCCATGTTATTGCTGCTGCGCTGGTGTTGAGACAGCAATGCCGGCCCTGCACAACAGTGGCCGTCAGCATCACAACTTAAGACCTAACACACTGCCTGGTCCTACCTCTGGGCGCGTTGGACGGCCAGTTTTGGACCGCTACCGTCGCGATAAGTTCCATGCGTCATACACAATAATGCTATGCACCCCAGGCATAACACCTATCAGGTATATTTTTTAGATATAAAAAGATCTCGTGCATTTCTTGTAATAACTCGGGGCACGTTTCACAGCACAACAGATGCATCTTCAGGCTATACATAATATACCTGTATATGCATACTTATATATAATTTATGTATTTATATATATATATATATATATATATATATATATATATTTATGTATATATTATATATAATTAATTTATATATATATATATATATATATATATATATATTCAGAGTATTGTTGCACTCAATGGTTCTGGGGCCAATCAGTGGCCGTACGCACTCCGTGTTCCATCTCAACTCTGCTGAAAAGAGTTGGCGGCAGTAGGATTCGATCTCGCGCCTGGACATCTCGGTGTGTGCATTGGTCTACGCTTTGCGTGATAGCTCGAAAATGAGTGCCGCGGCGCACACTTTTTATCCAGGAAATCGAAGGAGAATTGTTCACACTTCATTTCTACGCATTTTTCATGCATATATATGCTCAAGATTTAGAAAGCCGTGGGCCTGAAGGTCATTTTAACATGCGAGCCCTGTGGCTAGTCGTGAAATGTGCGCCGTTGCTGCCATATTTTATGCTAGACTTCGGACCCCCGCTTTCCATGGTACGTCGAGAGATACTGTTGTTTTGGGCGCGGGATCGGGCCCGGTGTGTGAGTTCGTTGGTGTCGTTGAACTGGAGGTGAGTTTAACATGTATTGGTGAGCAGCAACAGACCTGGGCACTGAATGCATTGCAAGAAAATATTATGTGGGATATGGTAGAGAGATCCGGCTGTAACCCGCAGGCAGTATCCCTCGTTCAGTCCCGAGTCGTGAGTGTGGCGCGCGATACTGTCGAAATTGCAGGAACTGCTTGCTTTCATCTGACGTCGCTCACAAAGAACAAGTTTTTGCATTTCTTCCATTGTATATTTGTGGACAACAAAATGTCTTGGAGCTAAAAACACCAAGAAACACCCAAGTTTCAGATACTGGTAGGGGGTGACAATACTGAGCTTTTAACTGGTGTGGTTAGGTATGTTAGGGACTGCTTGTAGATGCTCTTGATTGTGTGGCTGGCACTTGCTGGGCTGGTTGCACCTGAGACTGCTTGGATGCTGTAGTGTACTATCTTTTTCTACTCAGTTATTGACTTATGGGACATCAGCTGCCTCTGTTATTTGCACTCCTGTTGTTTAGAAAATTTGTCAACAAGACTGGGAACAGAACTATGTCATCAGACTGTCATCAATGTTCTAATGACTTAGAATGCTTATTAGTTGCATACAGGACCCATATGATGTAGGTATGCTTCACACATCCAATACAGGCCCTGTGGGCCACCTTTCCATTGTCTAAGACACTGTGACCAATGCTCAGCAATTTTAGGACCCCACTTCTGATATACTTTTTTGCCACAGTAGCTTCCTTCTCCTCCAGTTTCTTTTTTGTTGTTTGTTGTGCTTGGGCTTCAACAGTAAGCTGGTCATTGCCACCACCATTCTGGTGTGGCAGGACTTCAGCTGTTGGGCTAGGCTCATGTCTGGTCCCACTTGTGGAGGGTTGTGGATGTTCAGCAGTAGCAGTAGGGGTCTTCTCCTGCCATGCTGCTCCTCTTCATCATTTGTTTCAGGACCATAATGCCAAGCTTCTGAGGTGGTGTCACCCATGCTGTTGTCTGGGCTTGAAGGTTGGTGGGAAGACTACCACCCTATGGCGAACAGCATGAAGGGGCTAGGTGCGAACTGTGGACAGTTGTCATTCACTAGCAGATTAGGAATGTTGTGTCTGGTGAACTGACCCTTGAGTATAATGACTGTAGCTTGCGAGGTCAGCACAGAAGCAGTTACTTCAAGTTTTTTTTGCAGAAAACACTTGTGGCCACCTCTTTCCCTGTTAATTTGGATTTGTCCATCCTTTGACTGACTTTCATCCAGTTTTCTCCCCATCATCCTTCCTTTCCCTGCCAGCTCCATGAGAGGATGGCCCTCACATCCCTGGTTCCAGCAGCCCAAGCTGGAGCACCAGGTACAGAATCTTTTTGGTGATGAGGTTGAGGGGCAGTTTCCCCAGCTTACCAATAAGCCTGGTATAGTGGGAGCTTGTACCGGGTCTCATGCCCTTAGCCATACTTGCAAATTATCTCTTATTGTATTTTAAAGCAAATTTTGTTAAAGCCTTGTAGGCATCATATTGGTACACTGGTTGCCGCATATCATGCCCTATAGCCAGCACACAACTGGAGGACTGGGGGAGAAACGTAGAAACCCCTCGCTCATCTCATGGGTTCTGCTCTGATTGCAGCACAGTGGTTTAATACGTCCTCATTTAAGAATTATGTGTGGGTGCCTGGATCTGCAAACCTCGAAAGCACTCACTTTGTGTTCTGTTAACGCTGTAGCCGTTTCTTACGAAACTCTGCAAAGGTGCGTCTAACGCAAGAAGTGTGTTACGTTGCCCAGGGTTATCACAAATATATCTTATATGTTACGGATGTATTTCATTTCCATAGTTGCGGCGCTCAGTTCAGCAATGAATCGGCGAGAGAACATGGCATTACGGCCAAAGAACTTGCCTACACTATAAAAAACAAAAACAACAGCAACAAGTGGCACAAAACAATAAGTCACTTCGATAGAGGAAGTTTTGCATGGCTAAATTATGACAATGTGCATAACTCCTTACCGCATCCTCCAGGTCCACTTTACTGCATTGCGCCATATCTAACGCCCCGCGGCTCAAACAGGCGCTCGATTTTCCAAGAG